GCAGCCGTCCCACCTACTTTGGAAGCTTTGACAGGGGGTGTCCGCCACGTCCAGGGGGAAGCAAATCAGCCTCCGCGGAGGCGGCACATAGAAACTAGAAAGGAGGAGGGAAGAGACGTGGGGAAGACGTGTCAGGCCAGAGAACCTGTGCGTGAGGAAGCATGGCCTGGAGTGCGGGGTGGATGCGGGGAAGTCGGCAGGGGTTTACCTTCCACGCGCCTCTGCACTCGGTGTGCACAGACGAGCAAGGAAAGAGGACGCCCACCGGGGCCTTCCCGCTCTGGGGCCAGCTTTGTCGAGCTTCCACCTGGGACTGATGGGTCACGGCCTGCCCCTCTGTCTGCAGCTTTTCCTAGATGACTCCAAAATGAAGAACTTCATCACCTGCTTCAAAGGTACTGATGCGCTCTCCTCCCCGACCTTCCCTCGCTTCGGAGAAGGCCCTGAAGGGCTCCGCTGCCCAACCTGTTGGTGGGCCTGCCCGCAGCGGGGTACTGGGAGTCCTGCGCTCCAGAGCTTCCTGTCTGGAGACAGGCCAGGACAGCCCATCAACACCCGGTGCCTGCCCTTGGTGTCGCCCAGGGTTAGCCGCCTGCCTGGGGGCAGTAGGGCCCAGGGGCCTTGGGGCCCGGCATGCTGAGCAGCCGCGCCCTTCGGTCCCCCAGACCCGCAGTTCCTGGTCGTCTTCTTCTCTCGCCTGAGACCCAACCGCAGCGGGCGCTACGAGGCCTCCTTCCCCTTCCTCTCACCATGCGGCAGGGAGCGCAACTTCCTCCGCTGCGAGGACCGACCCGTGGTCTTCACGCACCTGCTGGCCGCGGACCCCGGGCCCCCGCGCCTCTCCTACTGCGGCGGCGGCGAGGCCCTGGCCGTACCCTTCCAGCCGGCGCGCCTGCTGCCCCTGGCCGCCAATGGGCGGCTCTACCACCCAGCGCCGGAGCGCGCGGGCGGTGTAGGGCTGGTGCGATCGGCCCTGGCCTTCGAGCTCAGCGCCTGCTTCGAGTACGCGCCTGGCGCTCCCGACCTGCCCTCTCACGTGTGTTGGCAGGGCCGCCGTTTCGCGCTCACTATGGACCTGGCCCCGCTGCTGCTCGCTGCCCCACCACCCTGAGCGGCGCCGCGCGGCCCGCGTCGCTGCGCACGCGCCACCCGGAGAGCTCGCTGGCTGAGGCTGAGTGCGCGTGCGCGGCGAAGGCGCACCGCTGCCCCGCTGCCCCGCTGCCCCGCTGCCCCGCTGCCCCGCCCCGCCCGGCGCTGTCCGTGGTGCTACCGCGGCCCGGGCCCCGACACGGGGAGGGGCTGGGTCACCAGCCCTCGGTCCCTCCCCACACACCTCGCCTGGGGTGTCCTCGGCGTCCTCTGGTTCGGCCGGCGCTCGCGACGGCAGACCCGGGCGGCCGGGCGGGAGGCGCCGGCGCTCCAGTGCGCGAGCGCGAGCGGCGCCCGCCCCTCCCCCGCCCTGCGCTGCTCGGTGGGCCAGGGTTCGGCGGGGGAGCCGCACCGAGGAAGCGTCAGGTGAGGGGTCCGCCCGACCCAAGGTCAGCGGGCGAGGGGGCGGGATCGCGGGCCGTCCCTGCTCACCGAGAAAGGCTTGCGACCTGGCGGGGACCACACCCTGCCCTGTACCGGCCCGGGACAGACCATGCCTGAGGCCGTGGACGATCAAGACTCCCGACTCTGCGCCTGAGAGGATCGCAGGTCTTCCCCTCTTACCCCTCCGAGCCTCCCTCCCCCTCAAATGGGTGCCCTGAGACAGTGACAACCCACCCCTGCCCAGCCGGATTAGGGGTTTTCCCCTAGGTAAAAGGATTTCTGGGCTGGCCTCCCCTGCCCTTCCTGCTTGGCCCTCATCCTTGCCCAGGCCAGCCTTTATACACGAATCAGCATCTAGGAGCTGTCCATCAGAGCAGTAGTCCCCCTGAGTCCTGAGGAGGAGGCCAAGAACCTTCTATATTTGAGAGGCCTTGCTGCTGGAAGCTGGGTGGCCACCCTGGGCCACCCCTTTTGTTCAGGGAAATGGGTCCCAGGGGCTTCAGAGAATGCCCCCAGTTTCTTGGGGCTCACCTACATTCTGAGACATCTGGGAACTGCCTCTGCCTGAGCCAAAGCTATTCCATTAAAACTTTTGCTGTGCCTATCTCTCTCCAGTGATTTTCAATAATCATGTGAATTACAATTTAGAGCAAGACTCAAACAAACACCAAGGCCACTTACTGCCTTTCCACATGACTCACTCTTGCTAGTGGGGAGTCCTGGTGAGCAGGCAGGTGTTCAAGCAGGGACAGTGTGAGGTGGAGCTAAAGGCTCAGTGATAGCACACCCTCAGCCCCATCCCTGGCTTCAGACTGGCTGGCTTCTCAGCCCAAGTCCCCTCCTTTAATTTGGACTCAATGTGCCTCAAGCTAGACCCAGGCCTTGCCCTCTCTCTAGGGTCACATTTGCATGAACATAAACCCAACACACGACTCCCCACTTCAGTCCAGGAAGTCACTGCCCCCAAAGCCTACTTGGGAAACACCACTAGAAACCCAGTTGGTGGCCCAAGGCCCATCTTTCACACCCCAGCCATTCCAGGGCCCCACATGCCCCCCAAAACAGGGGTCCTTTACTGGGAGCCAGTATGGAGATGACAGGCCCACACCTTCCAAACTGATTTTCCTGCTGTTTGTCTCACCCCTGATTATCTAACAAACTCCCTGAGGAAAAAGCCCTAATTCTAGCTAAGCTGTTCCAGCCACTTCCACTCCCAGGAGGGCAGGGGCAGAGGCTGGACAAAGATATGCCTCGATTTTCCTGGTGCCTCCCCTGAGACCAGTTGTGCCCATATCCTCCATCAATTTACAACAGGAGAATCCCAGGTTTGAGGACAGAGCATGAGTTCCAGGGATAAAAATGACCAGAGTAAATGCTGGGTCAAGGTCAGTTGAGGGCAGGGAAGGAGTGTGGAGCCTTGGCCTCGTCCTGGGGGCACAAAAACGACCTCTACTCTAAGCTCTGTGCCTTCAAGGTCTGACACCAGTCCCCACAGAGTGAAGAGTCTATGTGGACATGGGGATGTGTCTGCCCAGAGGCTGCTCTTCCCATTCTAGTCCACGCTGTGGTAACTGACCCCAAACTTAACCCTTGTGTCCCCAAGGCCATACCTTTCACCAGCCTCTTGCACGCAAGATCCAAGGAGTGGCTGTTGTTAGGGTGTAGAGGGCACGGCGGTCAAGACGTCCTCGCGCATGAGCAGGAAACTCCTCAGTGCTAGTAGAGATGGGATGGGGAGAAAAGCAGGCTGGGATGGGGTGGGCTGTCCCCACGTGGCCTGTGTGGCAAGACTCTGAGGACAGAAGAAATTCTAAATTGGAACCTGATGCCCCAGATCTTTACAACTTTTTATAAAGGAAGGCAATGAACGTTTAATCAGTTTCTCAAGCTGATTTAAAACTTAAAAAAATTCAGACACAGGATGTGTGCCTCCAGCCATCCTTTTTAGTGGCTCTCAAATGTTAAAGACAGGCAGAACCTGTGTTTCAGGAGGCGCGTCCCATCCAGGGCTGGACTGGAGGCAGGCTGGTGAGGAGGCTGCGGCTTCGCAGTGCGCGCCTGTCCCACGGGAGATGGCCCCAGGGGCACCCACATTGCTGTTGCTGTTGCTGCTGTCACTATCCAGTGTCCTGCCCTGCGCTGCCAGCTGTCCGGCTGCCTGCCGCTGCTACAGCGCCACAGTGGAGTGCGGTGCCCTGCAGCTCCACGTCATCCCGCCTGGGATCCCGCCCGGGACACAGGTGGGCACCGCATGGAGGCTGCTGGGCTGCAGGGGAGGGGTGCCTGAGATGCAGAGGGATGGGGATGTGTTTCCTCTTGGGTGGTTGGGCCCCCTAGGGAAGAGACAGCCCCAGTGGGGTAAATGCCCTCCCTCCCTCTGGCCCCACAGACACTGTTCCTGCAGGACAACTGCATCGCGCACCTGGAGCCTGGTGTCTTGACGCCTCTGGCCTCCTTGCGCCATCTCTACCTGCACAACAACAGCCTGCGCGCTCTGGAGCCAGGTGCCTTCCGCGCGCAGTCGCGCCTGCTGGAGCTGGCGCTCACCAGCAACGGGCTGCGAGGCTTGCGTGTAGGCGCTTTTGCTGGTCTGGCCCAACTGCGTGTACTCTACCTAGCCGGTAACCAGCTGGTGCAGCTGCTGGATTTCACCTTCCTACACCTGCAGGTGAGTGGGGAGAGGGGTGGGCAAGGGCAGCAGTTTTCCTGCATTGCCACATGCTCTGCCCAACGGGAGTATGGAAAGGGAGTTCTCCGTCAGCACAGTCTAGCCTGGTAAGAAGGGGACCTGTCCTCCAAGGCCCCTTTCCCTGATGATCTACTGTCCCTGCTTCAGCGACTGCAGGAGCTGCACCTGCAGGAAAACAGCATTGAGCTGCTGGAGGACCAGGCCCTGGCCGGGCTCTCTTCGCTGGCCCTGCTGGACCTCAGCAGGAACCAGCTGGGCACCATCAGCCGAGAGGCCCTGCAGCCCCTAGCCAGCCTGCAGGTCCTACGCCTCACAGGTACCGCTTATGGGGTCAAGGGGGTCTCGTGCAAAGGTAGCTTCCTTGGCCACAGTGATGACAGTAGGGAGCAGGCCCAGCTGTGGAAGGGTCTCCAATGGCAGTAGTGCTCTGCAGGGCCACACCACCACCCACAGACATGATAGAAGACTGCTAGGAACAGGGGTGCTGGTAGGGGCAGTTCGGGGACCCCTCCCAAGGAAAACAGAAAAGGTACAAGTCCCTGAACAGACTGGACAGAGCTGAGTGGCTTGCACACTTTGGGGCCATCGGAGGGCAGGCAGGCAAAAACTGGACAGATGAGACCAGGACTGGGGCCATTTCCTGGAGACAGCACCTGAAGGCAGGGCCAAGAGGATGTGCAAAGTTTCAGTGCTGGTGGGATGTCTACGTGAACACAGAGGTTCCCCCAAATAGTGAGATTTGTTGCAGGGAGAGGCTTCAGAGGAGTGGGGACTTTCCAAGAGTTTAGTGAAGTGAACTAGAACATGCATTACAGAACGGAGTTGCGGGTGGGGGTGTGCCCGCCTACACACTAAGGCGCTTGGGGTCAGAGAAGGGGTGGCAGAGGTCCCTGACTGTGGGAGGTGGGAAAAGGGCTCCTCCTCTGGCCAACAACCCAACTGCACAGACTGTGTTCCGGAGGCACCTGAGCTACCTACCCGCCGCTGCTCTGCCCACAGAGAACCCATGGCGCTGTGACTGTGCCCTGCACTGGCTGGGAGTCTGGATCAAAGAGGGGGGCCAGCGGCTGCTCAGCTCCAGGGACAGGAAGATCATGTGTGCAGAGCCTCCCCGCCTGGCACTTCAGAGTCTCCTGGACGTGTCTGGCAGTAGCCTCATCTGCATCCCACCCACTGTGCACGTGGAGCCGCTGGAGGTGACAGCCAACCTGGGTGAGGACCTAAGGGTTGCCTGCCAGGCTTCTGGCTACCCGCAGCCCCTCGTGACCTGGAGAAAGGTGGCACAGCCTCGCGAGGGGCCGCCGCCGGCCCAAGCCCAACCAGAAGGTGGGGTGCCGGTCCCAGGCGGGCCCGGGGCCTCTGACACGGGCAGCGGCATGCTTTTCCTCACCAACATCACCCTGGCCCACGCCGGCAAGTACGAGTGCGAGGCCTCCAACGCCGGCGGCGCCGCCCGCGTGCCCTTCCAGCTCCTGGTCAACCTGTCCCGGCAGCAGCAGCTGGCGCCCGCGCCGCCCCCGGCCGCCGGCCCCATCAGCCACGAGCCCCTGCCCGAAGCAGGCAGCATGGCCTTCCGTGCCCTGAGCCTGGCCACGCAGACGGTTATCGCGGCGGCCATTGCGCTCCTGGCGCTCACGGTGCTGCTGCTGGCGACCATGATCTGCCGCCGGCGACGCAGGCGCAAAAAAGCGCCAGGGCCGCCGGGGGAGGGCGCTCTCTTCGTCAACGACTACTCTGACGGGCCCTACACCTTCGCGCAGCTCGAGGAGCTGCGCGACGAGCGGGGCCACGAGATGTTCGTCATCGACCGCTCCAAGCCGCTCTTCGCCGAGGGCCCAGCGGAGACGACCGAGAGCACGGAACCCGGACCCACACAAGGGCTCCCACTGCAGCCGCCCGCCGCCTACGAGATCCACTGCTGAGGGGCGGTCGGGCGCGCGCTGATGACGTAGGCCCCGCGGATTGGCTGGCCCGCAGCTCACCATGCGCATGCTCCAACACGGTCAGTAAAGGCTGGAAAGCTGCGCAGTGTGCTGCGAGACTTGTGTGGCGTCCGGGGCGCGGAGAGAGACTCAAGCACCTAAGGACCCCGGCTCCGCAGTCGGAAGTCCTGGTGCGCGAAAGGAGGGTGGTAGGGTAGGCTGCCAACGCCCCGACTGAAGCCCTCCAGAAAAATCCCCCCCCCCCCAAAATCACCCGACCTCCAGTCCCGCCGCCTACTGGAGGAGCCTGGACCACCGCGAGGTGGGCGGGGTGGACTGTGGGGAAGCCTAGGGAAGGGGAGGGGCAGCGGGCCTGAGGGCTTGGTATTCAGTGGCCATGCTAGGGGTGCAGCAGAGAAGGAGACAAGTCACCCTAATCAATTAAGACAGAAAAAAAAATCCACGAATTTAAGTTCTAAACACACTGCACTTTTGTACCTTAAGGACACCTTCTGGCTCCAAAAGCCAGCTGAGAGGCAGTCTCCTGGGTGTCAAGGTAGGAAGACCCCCTTAGAAGCCCCAGAGTGCGTGGGGGCTCAGTCCTTGAAGCAGGCCTGTCCCAAGTTCCACCCCAGACCAGTCTGCTCTTGGGGAGGGCCCAGAGGAAAACTCTCTTAGCTCACTGACCCCAGGAACATTCTGAAGAGAGAACCAGGACACCAGAGGGCAGCCAAATGCAGCTAAACCTAAGCAGGGCCGTGCAGGCCTAGCATCCAGCCCGCAGGCCCGCAAGTGGTCAACCAGTCAGGTTAGCAGGTGCAGAACAAACTGCGCAGCGTGCTACAGAAAGCATGGGGAGGCTCAGGGTGCACCCAGGAACAAGGAAATCAGAGACTAGTGCCTTTATGTCAGGCCTCCAGCGGGGTCCCAGCCAAGGCTCTGCCTACCCAAGGGGCAAGGGGCTTCCGAGAACCCTGGACCCCCGGACTGCCCGACTCTCACCCAGAGGTGAGAGATCACAGGCTAAAGTAGTCTGCAGCCAGGCGCCCGTAGATGTCTGTGGTCCAGAGCACATGAGCACGGCCCGAGGCCAGCAGCAACTGGTGCAGCTCGGCCTCCACACGGGCAAACTTCTCTTCATTGATGGAGGCTTCCAGCAGGACAGAGGCAGGCGGTGGCCAGGGCAGGCCCTCATAACAGTCCACAGGGAAAGGGTGCACCACTGTGCGCAGCTCAGCCTGTGCCACTGAGTCCCGCAGGAGTTCCTTGAGGCCTGCCATGGACAGTGGATTGCCGTAGAGGCCGAGGTAGCGGAGGCTGGTGCAGCGAGTCAGCACAGGGAGTGTGACCAGCAGCTGGGTATCAGCAAGCTGGCACTCAGTCAGCTCGAGGTGCAGCAGAGTGGCTGCTGCTGCCTGTAGCAGACCCTGGAAGGGCTCTAGCTGTCTGCCAGACAGGTCGTTGCCACTCAGGTCCAACTTCTTGAGGTGGACAGCATGAGGGCTCTGTGCCAGGAAACGCAGGTCCTCAGGCAGTAGGGCACAGAAGGCCAGCTCCAGGCTCTCCAGGGGGCTCTGCAGGGTGCTGCAGGGGGGCACAGGGGGTCACAAACAGGCAGGGCCAGGGGAAGGTCTTGTGGAGGGGATGGGAGGAGCAGGGTAATAGCAGGCCCACTCACCTGAGTAACTGGTCCAGCCGCCCCGAGAGGAGAGAGGAGCCCATGCTGAGCTCCCGCAAACAAGTGAAGCGACCCATCTGAGCCAGGAAGTAGCGGAAGTTGTCCTCACCGTCCACGGAGGGCTGCCGTGAGTCCCCATGGACATAGTGCAGCCGCAGGCTGGCCAGGTGCTGGAAGCGGGCCACGTGCGGGATGATGACAGACAGGCCACGCAGGCCCAAGTTGTTGAAGCGCAGGTCCACACGGCGCAGGCAGCCAGCATCCAGAAGCTGTAGCAGGGCCACTGTATTGCGCATGGGCAAGTCCTCAGCCCGCAGGTCCCGGCAGCAGAGCCGCAGTGGGCTGCCTACGCTGCTGCGGAGCGCCTCCCGCAGGAACGCGTAAGAGGCCCGGTTCACCCGCAGGTCCACTCGCACCTCCACAGGAATGGGAGCCAGCCCTGGCTCTGCAGTCCTGCCCTGCTGCTGTGCGATGCACGTGCGGGCCACAGCTGCTGTGCAGTCCCACATGCTCATGGTGCCAGGGTCCTGCTCCACGCCATCATCCAGAAGGCCCGTCATGTCCAGCACCCGCAGCACGTGCTTCCTGGGAGCAAGGGTGGGCTGAGACAGGAGACAAGGGAACACAGCCCACACCCACTATCCGCCACCCTGGGACAGGAGCAGCATGCTTGCTCTTGCATTGAGCTCTTATACCAGACTGGAACCTCTTGTGGAGGATCCTTTTTGCACCCCCCTCCCCAGGCCTGAGGGCCACTCCAGTGAGCCCATACCTGCAGAGGGGCTGAGTGCCAGCCTCAGTCTCTGGGGTGTGGAGCCGGGCGGTCAGCCCCAGGATCACGGCTTGCATGCTCTCAGTACTAGGCCGCTCCTGCAGCAGGGCCCGGCTGCAGTGGGCACACTCCTGCAGCAGCTGCTGGAAGCTGAGCAGTGGGAAGGGCCACATGTGCACCAGCTCCCGCAGCACGACAGTCTTCTTGTCCATAAAGGCCACTTTGAACAGCAAGGGGAAGAGCTCTCGTGGCAGCAGGGGCAGGGCCTGGCAGGCAGCTGACTGGCACTGGAGCATCTGCCGTGTGCTCAGGAACACAAGCGTGTGCATGGCGCTGGGCCAGGCAGGAGGCCACCTGCAGGGAAGGGACCTTCAGTGGGGAGGACAGACGCGAGGCCACTGCCCCCTCCATGCACTGGTCGTGGGAAAGCTCAGCATGGAGCCTAGCACAGAGTGGAGAACCACAGCACCAAAGATCAAGTGCTAGGTGCCTTGCAATAGGCTGAGTGGAGAGGAAAGGAGCTCAAGGCTGCCCCCAGGCCCCACCCTCCAAAGCACGGGGGCATTTTTAGGGAAACAAAGGTATCAAGCAGCACATAAAACAGCATGGCACCAGAGATGACTAACTCGCCTGGGTGTACTTCTGATGGCTGTTGCTCTGCAGGGCCCCCCATCTGAATCGCAGCCCTCCCAAATCACAAAGCTACTTATCAGAGCCTCCCTTCCTTAAAAGTAGACCAAAGCTCAGGCCCCTCCCCCCACAGCACTAGTGGGATGGGATACTCCCAGGGGCTAGAAGTTGTATCCAAGTGTCCTCTCTCATAGCCTCCTCAGAATCTCTAGCAGACTGCCCTTGGATTCTGTGCAGCACAGTAAACAGGAGCTAGAAGTACAGATGCAGCTTTATAAACACCCAAGCAGGTAGACAAGACCAGGACCCAGGGAACACTAAGTCCAGAGGGCCTGAGGAACCCAGGCCCTCAACATGAGCTCCAGTTCTACTATTTCACTGCCAGACAGGGAGAACCCTGGAGATTTACAGAAAGGAAAAGTGCCTCATCCACCGGGATCCTTGTCATCTGTCTAAACATCTGTCTCTTCCCTGGAGAACCACGTTGAGAGACCAAGTCTCAAATCCATGGGGTTCAAAGGCACCAGGCCAGGGGCCTTTGCTCAGACGCACAGAGGCAGCTGCCAAAGGAACATCCAAGCTGACAAGGAGAGCACAGAAGATGCCTGAGGGCACAAAGGTACCTGTGTGTCAGCTGTGCTGCTGACTTCACAGCAGCAACAGTTAGCCGACTTACTGTGTGCCAGGCACCTCATCCTCAAAACTGCCTCCGGGTCATCACCCTGAAAACAAATTAGAAAACTAAGACCTAGGCCGTGCCCGACCAAGGTCACAGCCTTGTGTGATGAACTGGGGGAAAGGTGGCAGCCTGGCCCCAGAGCCCCTGCTCTTGCGGACCTCACACACAAGTCCTTAGGGCACTGGTTCCTGAGAAGCCCCAGACGTCAACCCTCGGACTCGCTCGGCCTGTGGACAAATCTCGCGAGGACGACTCATACCTCGCTGTGACAGGACAGGCCAACCGAGCACCTGTCACGAGAGGCAACGAAAGCAGCCAGTGTGGTCACCGTGGGAGGAGTCTCGGTGTGGTGGCCACCGCCCCCTCCAGCCGGCCCCAGCTCCAGCGTTTCCCTGAAAACGCCCCCGCCCGGCTTATCCAAGCCTCGAACCGCAGGAGGCCCTCAATCCGACGCCCTTCCACCTCCTGGGCGGGGTTCTGCCCCTCGAAGCCGAGGCGTCGTCCCCTCGGGGCCGGAGGCCGCTCAGCCCCGCGCCAGGCTCCGGGTCCCACCCAGCAGCCGCACCGCCCGGGCTCCCGCCCTTGCCTCCCAGGTGGCGCCGCCCCGATGGCCAGCACCCGCCTCGTGCGGCCAGGCAGAGCCAGGGGTCGCACACTGCCCCGCTCAGTTCCCGGCTGGATGCCAGCGCTCACCGGCCTCGCAGCCACCACCACCGCTGCCGGCCACGCCTCGCCGTCTGTCGTGCCCCGCCCAGCACCGCCGCGCGCCGCGATGACGTAAACGCCCCCCATTGGCTGCCGCGCTAGAGCCCTGCGGATTGGCTGTCCCGGCCGAGCGGCTGTACCACCGCTCCGCCTCCGACCCC